AACAACAACAACAACAACAACAACAACAACAACAACAACAACAACAACAACAACAACAACAACAACAACAGCAGCAGCAGCAGCAAGCCAGCGCCTGCAGGGGAAGGAACGCTACAGGAATCCGCACCAGCACCATGCGAATCAACATCAAGGATCATGGAGAGGATGGGGTTGATTGGTGCTGGCAGAAAGGATTGAAACAACAACAAGCAGCAGCTGCAACGAGAAGTTCTGCAAACACAAAGAACAACACCAACAGCAACAACAACAGCAACTATTCCTGTTGGCGCCATACCAAATGGACACGCTGTTGCCGCATGTAAACATACACCAATCGCAGCAAGGGCCTTGGTTATGGCTAAGGAAGAAGGTGAGGATTGCTCTACCAAGAGGGCTATGGAATTTGCTAAGTTCACTGAAGCGGAATGCAACAACAAAGCTCTTCGCAGAAGCGTTTTGAGGTTCAGGGACAAGCTGGAGCTAGAAAAAGCAGTTGCTGGTGTCCCCTTATCAACCATTGAATATATTTTACAACCAGACCTATCAGGCCTCACTGGAAGTGTTGGGGTCAGTACCACTGCTGCTCCTGCTGATACCTCCAGCACCACTGACAATACCAGCAGCAGTAGTAATAGCAAAGACGGTGACAAAGACTGTGACAACACAAAATACCAGATGATGGAGGCAACCAGTACTGCTGGCGATGGTTTTGTTCACACCAATGGTCCTGCAAAGAAGAAGCAGAAGCCTCCTCAGAGTGTGCAGTATTTGCATCCAAAGAAGGTTGAGAAGTACAACGAAAACAAGGTGAAAGACATTGTGTATCTTTCAGTTGCAAAAAAATCAAACATGAACGTACACTTGGTAATGCAGCCAACGTTGTTGCTATGGTTGCCCAGGTTAACAAGCTGTACAACGTTGAACTCTGTCCACAAACCATTTGACGTCCTTTGAATGAGGGTCTGGAAAATATTCCCCCACCGTGGAATTCTGGATGTCCCTCAACTTTGCCTGCAGTGGTGGAGGCGGCACTAGTTGATGCCATTTCCTCATACATAAACCTCGGTTGTGCAGAGATGACAGAACAACCTAATCAAAAGACAGTGACGGACATTTTAGCTTCTTGTCTTAATGATGGACCAACTGTGCTAAAAAAAATTGAAAGACTTTACGATCGTTTGTTGACTTTGTTCTCACCTCACGTCAAAATTGTTACTGGTTCATCTAAACTTGAAGATAGAAGAGCAAAGTGGACTACCTCTAATAATATCAACTTACGGTTCAACACACTGAAGAGTAGGTTGATATCTGGAGGATGGGTGAGAGAAAAGATGACAGATGACAGTGAGGTTCAAGGAGAGCTCGTGTTTTTTGAGGGTCAACTAAATCAGATTTTAAATCTAGATGAAAGTGGTTTGACGCTAGATGGTAATCATTCTTTGACTGGTGGCCGTTCCTCTACAAGATACCCCTCTTCAAATCCCGCAATCGATTCAGGTGCAGATAGAATGAGCAAGAGTAGTGTGCGAGTGACCTTTATTGCAGGAAGTACTGCAGCTGGTTCTCCCCTCCCCCCTCATTTTCAACTGAAAACGAAGGCCGAAGACGAGGACAAAAAGATTCAAGATGCTTTCATTGAAGGCATTCCCTACAGTGGGCCGGGGCGAAAGGACCTCAGCTTATTGGCAAAGCTCAAAGCCAGAGGGTTCTATTTACATGCCGGTGTTCCCAATACTACACATGTTACCCAGCCCACAGATCAGAATTATGGACCGTTCAAGTCAATGTATTGTTGTAATTTGGAGACCCTGGTTCGTTACCGGAGGGAACAAAACAACAACATCAGACAAAATGACTTCCCCTTTCTTGTTTTCGGAAATCGCACCACATCAGATGAACAAGTTGTTTTGGAGGCCGCATACGACAAAGCATTTTTGGTTGCTAATTCCAAAGCAGTCTGGGCAAAAATTGGAATTGCACTGTTTACGAGACAGTGCTTATCTGATAGTATAGTTGCACACGAGTTGATACTACTGGAAGATGGTACCATTGACTTGACGGCTGATCCAGATGCTATAGCGTTGGTTGAGAATGAAAAGAAGAATGCRAAAGCAGTAAAGTTGTTGAATGATTCTGGTTTTAATGGTAATGTATTCCAAAAGTTTGCACCATGAAAAAAAAGTAGCTGTTTGAGACAGTCACTGTGCCGAACTCCAGAGCACGCCAGGATGCTTTGGCATCAGCAAAATATTCCAGTCAACAGTTCATTATTACAGGAGGAGACACACTCAACACCAAGGATTATTTTATTGCTGAAGAGAGGAAGCAAAGGCAAGAGCATATCAAAGGCCTTGAGTCACTGAAGAAAAAAGCCAAAGCACTAGCTGAGTTCAGTGCCAAGGTTACCAACTTGATTCAAGAGTATGCCTCCAAGGGGAAGAATGTTAACAGTGAGGAGGATGCGAAGTCCCTACCAGTTTCTACACTCAAGTTATTGTGCAAGTGGAAGCAACAAAAGAAGATTCCTACAAAGAAACAAGAATTGCTTGATCTTTGGTTGGAAGTGAAGGATATTTATTTCCCTCCAGAATTTGCTTGGAGTGATGAAGATGAGACCCAACTGCAAAGACTGAAAGAAGATGAGTGAGATTACAATCAGGGATACTACTGCTTTAGGAAAAGAGAGAGCACCAAGGCTCCAAAAAGAATCCCTGAACTACATTGCAAGCATGACTGAAGAAGAGAGAGCTGCATGCAATATGCCTGTCAATGTGCTTCAGGAACTGAAGGAAATGGTTGTTGGTGAAGTTGCAGAAGTGTAAGATCAGCAGTTTCCAGTAGTTAGCACCTTAGAGAGCGCTCCAGTGGTAAGATTTATGTTAAGAGAAATCTGTTCTCAGAATCGATTTTGATTTCAATTTAATTTCATGTTAATAACCAGTGTCCGGAAGTCCATTTTGTTTTGCCGACCTGAATTCTGAGAAGAAAAAAGTGAGCAAAAAAGAGCTCGGAAACTAGCTCGGAAAGCTCGGAAATAGCAAATTCCTTCGACAGAAATATTTTTTTAATAAAGCATGACAGGGCCCTCCAGAACCAACACGCGCGCATCCCCCCTTTGAAATCTAATATTGGGGGGATGATTTCGTGTTTTTTTTTTCAAATAAAATAACCCACGTTTCTAAAACGTGGTTTCTTTTTCACAAAAAATAACCCATGTTTTAAAACGTGGGTTCCTGGTTTCCTGGGTTAACCCACAAATAACCCATGAAATAACCCATGAATAACCCACGAACCTGCTAGGCCTTTTTCCAAAAATTAAAAACAGTGATTAAATAATGTTAATGACTCAAATACTTAACATCCTTGTTGGTGGTTCTCCTCCATCAACCCAGATGACTGTAAATTCGTGGGTTATTTGTGGGTTCCTGGGTTCTTTTGTGGGTTATTTTTCAAATAAAAACCCATGTTTTAAAAATGTGGGTTATTCTTCCCATGAAATAACCCATGATTCTAAAATGTGGGTTATTTTTCACCAAAAATAACCCACGTTTTTCTAGGGGAGGAATTCGAAAAGGGGGATGTGCGCGTGGGTACCGGAGGGTATTGTTCACTTTGTAGAGCCGTGTACGATTTGTACTGACTCCGGACCTGTCACGGCCTCACTTGCCTTCCAACCTCGTACCGGCACGTACAAGAGCGAAAAAAAAAACGGCGGAAGAATTTAAGTAGAACGGACTTCTTAGGGCACTATTGACACATTCACTATCATATTGAATTTTGTCCAGAGACAACTGAACTTTCAACGTTGCGACATTTCTAATTTTATAGCTGCGAATTCTCTACCTTTCTACTCCGTTTCGACGAAATCAAAGAAGTAAATACCGTACTTAATGATAGCCGAAATTGTTATTGTTATCATTCTGGCGCATTTTTGTACCAAATATTGCACGATCGGATGCAATGAAAACCTGTGTATTCCAGACAGGACAGAATGTCCCTCACGGGTACGTTACCGTACGTACTTCCTCGTACGGTAGTAAAGTACGATTATTTTCTGTCTATCTGCCCGTACTACTATCTACTCGCCGTTGACGCTTCACATACACGAATTTCTCTGCAWTTTTTTTATCTTCGCAATATATTCCAGTTTACGTCATCGGTAACAGAGTAATCACTACAGCAGCGTCCGGAACACGGCATACTTACGCGTCGACAACCGTGAAAGACATACAGGACAAAAGGCGATATATCCTGCATAGCACCATTCATCATTAACAATACGCTACACTWAGAGACGAGACACACCAATCAATATGGACAGCCAATACGAAGCAGTAAGTTTGCCGGAMRCTGGTTGCGATTTTTTCGTTTCGTTCCAACTTGAATGATTCATCGTTTCTGACAATTGTTTGCCTCCCMMGACGACGAGCAGCCGGAATCCCTTCAGAAATATGGCGGCTACTTGGTCAACGGCGTCCTCGGACGCGAGGCCGGTATTGTAAAAGTAGCTTTTGGGGATAACAAAGACATACGCAATTACGCCGTTCCSTTGGCCCTTTACGGTAGCTTTTTCTTTTTTTTTGCACTGATTTGGTTCATTGTGTTGTGGGCCTTAAAGTGCAATTGCTGTGCGGGCCGCAAGAAGGTGGGATGTGCTGCCGGCTTTGCCTTTCACGACACGAACAGTCCTACGTATGAAGGAGAACAGGTCGATGAGGAAGACGACGAAGAAGAGGAGGAGGATGAAGAGGAAGATGGCGAGAAAGTTGAGGCGGGAGATGAAGACGAGGAATCCGTTGATSTAGAGGACGGAGAAAACAATGTCGAGAACAAGTCGGCCGGGACAGAGATAAGCCAATCGGAGGAAGCCGAGGCGGCAACGGAAGGCTTTGACGACGAGCCCGCCGACGGAGAAAGCGGCGACGAGGCCGTCGAGGAAGACGAAGCAGGCGACGACGAGGAAGTTTCCAAGGATGGCAACGATACCGACAGCGAAACTTCCGACAAGGAAACAGCGACGAAATCCGGGACCAACGGCGATGTTTTTGAGGACGAAGAAAAAGAACGCAAATTSGGGAATTGTTGCACCAAGAAAGGGTGGGCATCCTTTTTTAATTCGATGAGATTGTGTTTTGGCTCAGCCAGACCAAAAGACGTTAGGAACCGCAAGTATGCAACCCGGTTTGTCTTCATTTGTTTTGCGAACGTCACTCTGCTCTGTTGTGCGCTAGCGCTGGGTAAAATCTACGCACCGTTAGAAGCGATGTCCTTGACTGCTGGAACCGTCCTCGACGAAACAAAARYGATGTTTTCACAGGCAAAAGACTCGTTTATRTTGTTTCAAAACGCCACCAGAGATCTCGAGAYACRAATTTTTTTTCAGRTCGAAGAACTGCMGATGAGTAGCGTTTGTCCTTCGATTCCCCGTACCCAATTCGAARATATGGCTGGATTCAATATGGACAGCATCTCGCTCAAAATTTTTCAGGATTTCTACGACAACCAAGACATGATCATTAGCTCGCGGGACGCTGCAAGAAATGGCGTGGATGCCATCGCTATTCTCAGAGATGCCAATTCAATCATACTTACGTCAACCGACAATAAATGGATCCTCTCTCTCCTCATATCTTTCATGATATTGATTGTCATGAGCCAGATGGCATTGGTTTGCCACGCTGTGTACAAGGAATTGACAGGCAGTCAGATAAAGYCYATTGTCGGGAGACTCGAATGTTGCTATGCATGGACTATCCTGCCGCTTCAGATTATTATTGTCATTATCTTTTGGATCTTGATCATCGCGTTTTGTTTTGGTACCGTCATTACGACCGATACTTGTCTGCCAGCTGTCACCCTGCCGGCTTCCAACGGAACGGAAGCGATGACCGTTACGGGAACACCCGACGACACCATCATGGCTGTATTCGAGGAAAGCGTGTTCGACAATACCGCTGATAATTCTGCAGTAAAGGAAATAATGAAGCAATTCTTGACGGGATGCAAGGAGGATCCGTTGGGTGCAGCCTTTGATGCCAGGGCGCTATTGCAAACAACCRTTGGCTACTTCGACTCGCAAATGAAACAATTGGAGGATTCGAAGGGCATGTTCGACAGCTGTGGACCCGATCAACGAATGGACGAATACGTTGAGAACATGGTTGGGATGAGAGCCAATTTTGMGGRATTGTACGACAGCATTGGAGRAATCTACGAATCTATGTCGTGTCCGAGAGTAAATTACGTCTACGTAGAGACCATCCATGGGTCGGTGTGCACCGATTTGGCGTCCGCGTCTGCGGATGGATTTGTGCTGATGATTTTCCTCTCTATTTGCGGCATGGTTCTGATCACGCTCCGATCCGCATGGAGGGTTTCGGTGTAGTGCAGTGTAGTGCAGTGCAGTGCAGTGTAGTGCAGTGCAGTGCAGTGGAGTGGAACACGTCGCATTACCGTTCTGATCCGATGTCTCGAAATCCGACTCGGAGACGAAGACTCGAAGGAGACCCGCTCGAATCAATCGCACCCGACCCCGTGCAAGAATAATTGTGCCAGAGCATTGTTATACGATACGGCACCATCTCTTTGTGTGTCCATTTTATCATTTATTTTAATATAGTGTTTCTCATTTCTTGGTTACATAGTTTCGCAATATTGGATCGAGAAAGGTATGATCTAGCACYATCGGTCTTCGAGCCTTCTCTAATCTGCAGGTTTTGGCATGGCCCAATTTTACCAAACACCTCTGYGACCGTAGTACTAGGAGGTGCTGTGARAGCTTGTTGCTCTCTCAAAGTCGTAGTAGTACTACTAGTATGATTGTATTTGAAGTCTTTGCTGGATCAGCCAGTTCACACAGCAGTGAGAATTCTGCTGCACCACCTCCACCAAAACTGCTGAAAAACAAGAAGAACTACTAGTAGTAGTACTGCTATTACAGTAGTATTATTATAATTACTATTGCAACACTCAAGAAGTARTGGTGTTGATGAAAAAATAATATTGCTAGTACCTATAGTACCCGTAGTAGTACGAATGGTAATAGCACACTACTAGTACTACTAGTTTCGCTAGAAGTTCCCTGGTATGTATTACACTACGTACCATACGTACTCGTACCGGTAGATCGGATGCCTTTACAGTACTGTATMTAGTAGAAGTAATGCAGTGGGTGCGGTGCAAAGTGCTAGCACAGCAACTCGTGGCGACCGCTCGAAATCCAAGATTAAAATTCCAAAAGAAAAAACACATCAGTGCAGGGACTCACCCATCTTTCTCTGTCCTCCAAAACCAAAGCAACCACAATCTGGAAGAATACGTTAAAGCACCGAGACGCCTGGCCTCTCTCCCCGATAAGATATAGCAGAGGCGACAACGGGATGAGCGACAACGGCTACGAATCGGAAATGATTGCCACGACTAGTGCTACCTCCTCGTACCAGAGGGTATCCACCCGCGACGAGGCGAACAGCGGCGACGCCTCTGCGGACTTTCACGACGAGGACTCCGGATCATCGCGTGCCGACGACGATGCCRACGAAACTCCCGGCCAGGGGTTTTTGGCGGCAGCCCTGCCGTCCTCCTCGTCCGCGAGGCACCCCCTCGCCAACTTTTTGGTCATGTCCTTCCTGTTCAGCGCCAACCACGGGTGCGTCGTCAGCTGCATGGCGCTCGCCTCGGCGCGGCTGGGCTCGGTGGGGGCCTGGCAGTCCGGCCTGCTCATGTTTTCCTATGCGGCCTCCTCCCTGCTGGGGGCGACGTACGCCGTCAAGACGATGGGGGCCCGGAACTCCCTGGCGCTGGGAATGCTCTGCTACTGCGCCTACGTGGGATGTTTCTGGATAGCGGCCCACGTGGACGAGACCGACGTGGATCGGAGGGCCGTTGTTGCCTATACCGGGGCGCTCATTGGGGGCGTGGGTGCCGGCTTTTTGTGGACGGCCCAGGGGACCTATTTTGGCCTGGCCAGCCAGGACTACGCGTCCAGGGCGAGCCGGAGCAGCGACGGCGGCAACGGGGACGGGGAATCCGAGGCCGAGTGGCTGTCGGCCACCACGGCCCGGTTTGCCGGATACTTTGCCTTTTTGTATCTCACGGAGGAGCTCTTCCTGCGGCTGCTGTCCTCGGCCCTTCTGCAGCTGGAGCTGGCCTCYTGGGGGGCCATCTTTGGAATCTACACCCTCATCACGGTAGCTTCTGCGGTGGCCGTGCCCTGTTGGGTGCACGACTACCCCGCAGAGGACGCTACCAGCCATCGGCCGGACGAGAACCACAGCAGCAACGGGGACGAGGGCGAAAACGAGATCGAGATCGATGGCGGCGATCGTGTTGTCGACCACAAGAAMAGCATCTTCTACAAGGTGACGGTAGCCTTCTACCTCCTCCGGGACGATCCCAAGATGAAGTACATGATCGGCCTCAACGCCGTCTTTGGCTTTGTCGCGGCCTTTCTAAACTCCTAYGTCAACGGGCAGGTCGTTCCGGTCGCCCTCGACGACCCCGACTCCAAGTACATCGGGGTGCTGAACTCCATGGTATCGGCCGTGGCCGCCGCCGCCAGCCTCGTCTTTGGAAAACTGGCSGCGTCGTCGAGTGGCGGCGGCGAAGGGGGCATCGGRGCCAAGGGCGCCATTCTTGTGTTCGGGGCCCTCTGCTTTGGCGGGGTGGTCCTCCCCTTTTGCATCCAGCCGGACGCGGCCGCCTACGCTTGGCCGTCTCTGAYCGTCGTCTATGCCCTGCACGGGCTGGGCCGGGCGACCTTCGAGGGGACCCTCCGGTCGACCTTTGCCGATTATTTCAGGGAAGAAAAGGAAGGAGCCTTTGCCAACATCATCTTCCAGAACGGAGTTGCCAGCGGGATCGGCTATATTCTGACCTTCTCGCTGGTCTGYGATACACCGAGCAGGTACTGCATCGAATACAGCGACGGAAGGCTCCACGACGTCCTGACCTTTGAGCTCGTGGCGCTGGTGTCGGTGGTGGTGGCCATCGGGGGCTACCTCCGCGCCTCGCACCTGCACCGGGCGGAGCAAGAACGAAGAGCGGGCGACGGATACGGCTACTCGCGGCTCCGCCGCGAAGCGGCGCACGGGGACGGACGGGGYGGTGCCGCGGGGCTGCTGCGGGCCAGCGAGAACGGGGTTCCCGCATAGACCGTGCGGTGCGGWGCGGAGCGCAACGCGGGGAACGCCATGCCGCCGGGCAGGTCCGCCCGCCGATTGGWAATCGATCGGTCCGGCAGGAGAGCAGCCGCGAAACCACTTGGGGCGGGCGATGGAAACTGGACAAAACTACACCGTGCATACCGACTATAGTATGATTTATGATCAATAGGTAGAAAGACTCGTTTGTCGTTTGATGGAATTAGATCCCTGCATAGTGAATTCTTGTTTCACAGCAAAGTACTTCTGCCCATGAAGCCGGTCGGTTCCACGTTTTCCGTAGCAAGAAGATCACCACAAGCGTGGACGAGCGTCGACTTCGTATACGCTCCGACTGGGGTGGTAACCAAGTGGAGTTCGAGGRAGCCGGGCGTGTCCAGCAGTGACAAGGWCTTGAGGTTCCMCCTGGTTTTGGCTGCACTTCATGGTGGGTGGATCGTTCCGTACTAGTCACACACAGCATGCCAACAACTCRCAACGGAAGAAGCACGACAGGCAAGCGACGACGCGGCCTCTTGGTTTCGTTTGGTCGAAAAATGACATGGCTCCATCCGCGTATCGCATCAYGATGCTTCGCAACGGATTGCATTGGCATCGTATTCCTCTTGGATCTATTTTCTTTTGCGCTTTTTAGCAGATAATTTTTGCTCCTCGCATTCGAACTTCTTTAGGGAAAAGACGCGGCTGTTTCGAAAGTCGGGTTGTCCAAAGAAGAGATGCGCCCATCGATTCTTCCTRTTTTTGTTTTTGGTGTGGACCTTATTGCGGGGGATATTGTTCGGGGTGGTCGAGGRAGCAGTATTCTTGCTCGTATCGATAGCAGTATCTTTGTTTGCAGCATGGGTAGCATCGGCCGCAACCTTCGGTTCTTCTCCTTGTCCTTTGTCCCAACGGTCACGCTTCCGGTTTGATTGCTCGGCATCGATACCGATTCTGCTGTYCTGATCGACGAAATCGACATTAGAATCACGGCTGGCAACATCAGCCGCCGAAGCTATCTGACGCGGGCCCCACCTGTTTTGTTTCATCTTTCTGCCGCCACCGATACTGTCAGATTTGTTCTTTTTGTTGGATCGCTAAGGTGCTATGCGTACCCAACNTTGGAGTGATGAAGATGAGACCCAACTGCAAAGACTGAAAGAAGATGAGTGAGATTACAATCAGGGATACTACTGCTTTAGGAAAAGAGAGAGCAAGGCTCCAAAAAGAATCCCTGAACTACATTGCAAGCATGACTGAAGAAGAGAGAGCTGCATGCAATATGCTTGTCAATGTGCTTGAGGAACTGAAGGAAATGGTTGTTGGTGAAGTTGCTGAAGAAGTGTAAGAGGAGCAGTTTCCAGTAGTTAGCACCTTAGAGAGCGCTCCAGTAGTAAGATTTATGTTAAGAGAAATCTGTTCTCAGAATCGATTTTGATTTTGATTTAATTTCATGTTAATAACCAGTGTCCGGAAGTCCATTTTGTTTTGCCGACCTGAGTTCTGAGAAGAAAAAAGTGAGCAAAAAAGAGCTGGGAAACTAGCTGGGAAAGCTCTGAAATAGCAAATTCCTTCGACAGAAATATTTTTTTTTATAAAGCGTGACAGGGCCCTCCATAACCAACAAGCGCGCGTCCCCCCTTTGAAATCTAATATTGGGGGGATGATTTCGTGGTTTTTTTTTTCAAATAAAATAACCCACGTTTCGTCTAAAATGTGGTTTCTTTTTCACAAAAAATAACCCATGTTTTAAAACGTGGGTTCCTGGTTTCCTGGGTTAACCCATGAATAACCCATGAAATAACCCATGAATAACCCACAAACCTGCTGGGCCTTTTTCCAAAAATTAAAAACAGTGATTAAATAATGTTAATGACTCAAATAGTTAACATCCTTGGTTCTCCATCAACCCAGATGACTGTAAATTCGTGGGTTATTTGTGGGTTCTTTCGTGGGTTATTTGTGGGTTGCACGAAATAACGTGTACTTTGTAGTAGTATTCTTTAGTAGTGTTTATTAGATTGCTCTAATTAGTATTGTGAGACTAAAACTAATGAAATAGACTGAATCCACCTCTCACGTGCTTTCCCGTGTTATACTGGATTCAGTGAGTTATGATTGAGTTCAATTGATAGTAGAAATATACATCCAAGCAGTACAAGTCAAGTGTGTGTTCCTTTCCTGAGTTCTCGGATGATGTAGAACTCGGTACTGCTTGTACTGAGTGACTTTAGAACAGAACTCCCAATCGATTAGTTCTGTTCTGAATTCTCGTTCCGAGAATTATATACATGTGCATCCAGTGATGCTTTGAG